CCCAGGGAGAGCACAGAAAAGATGTCAGAAACGAGCAACATCTTCAATTTAAGAGGGGATTCGTACAGTTTAAATTCTTTATCTTATAAAAATAAGTTTAGTAGCAGATGGGCCCTGAATAAAATGTATATTCCCATGGTCCTTACACATTGCTGCCTGAATGTGTCAATGATATGTTATGAAGACAGCATTATGAAAATGTTTAGCAGACTAAGTTAAGGTAAAAACAAGGTAGAAAAATCGAATACTTGTTAAACACGTGATGTTGAACTGAAATGCTTCTTCAGATTCATGTTTCTGAAACCCCTTGCTTTGTGGGTGTCATAGGACATTGTGAATTGCACAAGCTCTGGAGAAAATATCTTTGCCTAATAAGTTGGTGAGACTTCATAGTAGCTTGGGAACTGGATAAAAGGGAAGCGGGGGAAAACCTCACAAAATAATGAGCTAATCAAAGCTTTCTGGCTCGTCAGGCACACAAATGCATCACAGCTGTTCCAAACTACGTGTAACAAAGAAAGAGACCAAAATAATAAGAATAAAAAAAAAGAGGTAAAACAAATAGCAAAATTCCTTCGCCCCCTGCTCCTAAAATCAGCGCTAGCAGCTCGAGCTAACGCCGCAGTTTGAGAAGGGCCTAACGTTAGCGCGCGCATCCACAACACGCCTCCAAACTGCATCACGTCCACCCCAAAAACGAGGATAAATACTGGCATACAGCGCAGTTGGGCCAGACTATACTGTCGGAACAGTTAGAAAAGCAGCAAAGGGTGTGCGGCAACTCACAGACAAAACGTAACTTTTTTGGGAAAGCGACGCAAAGAAAGGGTTAAACAGAAGGAAACATTGGTTGGTCAGGACGGCAGGCGTGCAGGCCGATCGGCTAGCAGAGCTAACATCCCGAGTGCATATACATACAGCTGTGTGCAATGCACTCCAGCTACGGCAGGACCCGCTTTTGCAAAACTGTTAAACGCGATTGCAAAAACCTCAACCGGGGTGATTTCAATCGACCTGCTTTGCAAAGCGCGTGCAACGACAATATGACTAACGTTATTTAACCCTGTGGCTCATAGCAAGCTAACATCCTCGTCGTGGACGACTTTCACTTCTTGCACCCCAAACCGCCCAGATTTATACTCCTTCAAAACATGTCCTCTTTCATATGAACGAGCACTCGCGGTCTGCGAGCAGATAGTTGCGGGAGACTCTAGATGCATTTGTATGCAAAACAGCATTAGGCAAGAAAACAATAACAGTTTTGACGATTCCTGCTCTTTCCGAACAAAAACCTGCAGATCGACCGGTGAAAATAAGTCGTGTCGTGCACTGACAGCATCGTACCTTGACAGATGTCCGAGGGACGGATTCTATGCATGCGGCGAACAACTGTCATCGCTGTAAATAAATGCAAAAGCAGAAATTAACTTGTAGCAAAGACTACTCACCCGAGACACGAGCGCCCTCTCCCTCATACCGTCCACCTCAAGTTGTGTAGCGATCCGATAAAACAGATCTACAAAAAACGGCTCGCTTCAGATAAACTATTCCTCGGCGGACACTGTGAGTTTTGGCGAACAGCGTGAAGTCGCATGCACAAGCGGACAAACTATCACAAATCGCTCTGATTTTCTAGACTGCACGAGCCCACCGCTGCTCCGGTTTACAAACCATCGCTACGTGGCTGGCTTAGGTCTCGCGCATCAACCTCCTCCGAGTTCATCCGAGGCGCTCGAGCCTCCGCTGTCTGCGCCGGAGAAAGCGCGCGTGGCGTCGGGGGTTTTTTGCCCCCGTAATCAAAGAGCGAGACCAGACAGCGTTCAGTGCGCGCGCCCGTCTTCCTCCCTGCGGAGAGCCACCTCGACAAAAGTGACTTTTCACTTGATGGACCGTTTGCCAACAAGACGAGAAATTGCAGCACGTTGTGAGACAGCGCCAACAACTTTGGGAGCTTTGTTTTCTAAACCATCACCACATCGGTCCAGGCCTAATGTGAACTTAATCCTGTCAGTTGTACATTAAAATCCAATAAAAATGTCAATAAAAAGTTATTTCCATGAAGAGCCTTTAATCTTTTGAACATCCTTTGAATCTTTCCAGTTAATGCACAAAAGGTTCTTCAGATGTTCTTCACACTAATAATAAAAAAGGTTCTTTGGGGAACCAAAAATCATTCCTCTATGGCATTGCAGTGAAAATTTGTTTAGAAACCTTTATTTTAAGAATGAAGAATTGTGGTTTTCTTATTCACTGTGCAATGAAATAAAGGCATTTACTTTGTTGTACTGTTTAGACACTTTTAGATGTTTTTATAAGTCTTATGTTTTATAAGATAGTTCCTGTTGCTATATTCTAATGCACTGCTGAATCCAGTAAAAAGTGTTGTTATATTTCAAAGCTCTCCATGGCCTAGCACCAGAGTATATTTCTGATTGAATGAGTTTACATCAGTTTTTGAGATCTCTTCGCTCAAATGATCAGCTGAGTCTGACAGTTTCTTGATCGTGCCATTAATGTAAAGGTGATAGAGCTTTTTAGGTGGCCGCTCCTAGCTTTCATTGTTCTTAAAAACCTCTCCCAAATTAGGGGCATTTCAGAGGGCTTTAAAAACTCATTAATTTTTTTTGAGCTTTTAGCAGTGTATTGTAAATTGTACGGATTTTTGTTGAATTTTGGCTTCATATATGATTACTTTTGTATGGTTCTTTTTGAAAATGCTGTAGAAATAAACTTAAGCTAAGAGTTGAGTTGAGTTGAGTTGAGCATGGA